CGCCCCTTTCCCCTGGTAACCACCGTTCTGTCAGGGTCACCTATTTTACCCAGCGCTCCAACCCTGTTCCCTCTGACAGCTGTCAGTCTGTTCTCTGCATCTGTGAGTCTGTTTCTATTTTGTTTGTTTGTTTATTTTGTCCATTAGATTCCACGTGTAAAAAGAATCATATGGTATTTGTCTTTTTGTGACTGCCTTATTTCACTTAGTGTAATATTCTCTAGGTCCATCCATGCTGTGACAAAAGGTGAGATTTCCTTCGTTTTATGGCCAAGTAGTATTCCATTGGGTAAATGTACCACAGCTTCTCACTTTTTAATCTCACCGTGTCTATACACACATCTAAGATTCATTTTCTTTGTATTCTGTTGAGTAAGAAAAGAATGTCCTGGCCTTGAATTTTGTTTTGTTAATTAATATTCAACGTTTGTATTCAGATGGAACATATTATAGAAATCAAGGTAAGATAAACAGTGTAGCAAACTACAGTTGGAGCAATAACCAAAATACAAAAGTCGCAACGGCAAGGGCAGGTGTCTGTCTGGTTCACCATGCACCCCTGTGCCCAGCTAGTTAGGCGCTCATTAAAAATGTGTTGGGGAGGAAAACGAGTGAATGAATGATTGCCATATTGCTTAGGGTAACTTGTGTAACAAAAAGACCCAAAACACAATGCCTTGAAGATAGTGAAAGTTTTTTCTCCTGTGACAATCTAAAGCAGGAGTTTAGGGTTAGGGAGAGGAGGAGAGGGCTTGCTCCATACAGGTTTTCAGGGACCCAGGCCAATTGCCTCTCTGCCATCTCTAGCAAGTAGCCTCCAGGGCACTCTGGTGGTTCTCATCTCCCTTTCAGCTCACAGAAAGAGAGACTGAATGTCAAAGAACATACCTGGTAGGTGGGTGAGTTTATTGACCAGGTCTGGAAGCCACACACATCGCTTCTCACGTCATGTTCAGGAGGCAGGCTGGTCACGTGGCCATATCTCATTGCAGAGGAGCCGGGAAACGTGTTGTTGCTGGGCATGTGGCTACTTCATCACTGTGGCAGAAAAGTAGAGTGGACTGGGGTGGACAGCTAGCAAGCTCTTCCACAGACGTCTTCTTACAGTACCGGTAGTTATTTTTGAATATGGGTTAATGTTCTACAGTTTTAAGCAGTGAAACATAAAATGTACAAAAGGGCACAGAAAGAAATTCAGACCTGCCATTCACCATTTGTTAATGAGAATGTATCAGCTCTTCTCCTTCTCTCGGAGCTCAAGGTTAGAATAATGAACCTGTTTTGACTAGCAGCATTCCGTGTAGCCTTCAGACTGAGCTGTTTGTATATTGAGAAAACGCGCTTTTTTACCCCGGTGTCCTCTGTAAAGGCTTTGTCAGCATTTTATAGTTTTAGAAGACAAATTTGTTTTCACTCCAAGTGGTTTCATGTGCTTCAGTGGTCAAACAGGTTTTGAGCCCAGCTTCAACGCCAAAATAGAGGCGGGGCGGTGGGGGGTACCCAGGGGAAGGACTGAAAATAAATTCCTCAGTCTAAAACTTTTTGGAGGCTCTTGCTTTTTTTAAATTTGAGGTTATTTTTATAATTTAGAAGTGTGGTTCTTAGATTTCAGTTCCTTCTGACACCCCAAAATTGTTCGAATAAGTTATATCATAGCAAAGCTGTGTGTTTTGAAAGTCACTGGTAGGACTTATATGAGACTAAATTTTCTGGATTATAGACAACGCTTTACCTGATCTTTTTTAATGCAATTCAAGCAACAATTTCATTACATTATATTTAAAGTCATAATCTGTTCTTATTTAAAAGATTTCAACTTTAGAAGGCTAATTAAAAGTTAATGCAATAAAACATTTTTGTAAGAATTCTATTAACTTCAACCTTTAATAAATGAAAACATTAATGAACTACTCTGATCACACCTAGAGAAGTGTTTTGGACATAAAACAGTTCAAAACTATCAAAAAGCATTGAGCCAGTATTTTCCCATAAGACAAGTACTATTAACAACTACAGAACATTTGAAAGTCCTTCATTTTCCCTCCCTAGACTTTAGGCAAAGAGGGGAAGTCAGAATTTATAAAACATTTTGCACCCATGGAAGTAGGCATTTTTGTTACTGTACTCAGATCTCTACTGCCCTTGTTAGTTTCATTCCAAAAAAATTGAGGTAGCTTGCCAATTGTAACACATTCTTCACATGTCCCTGTTTCCAAAAGGTATAGGAGGGCAGCCCAACCACCTTAGCAAAGGAACACTGTGTACTTGCACGCTGCTTTGTGAAAGCACACCATGAATATTCAACAGCCTCTAATGTGTGGAGGACAACATGGAAATTGGAATTATTATAAAGCTTTACAGAGGAATACTGAGCAGTATTGAAAGTCACCATTTATCAGTTTCATCTATAAAAACTCAGATCCTTGGGGAGTTCTTAAACATATGGACCAGACATTTTTTAAAAAGTAGGGTGTGGGAGGAGGCTGAAGAAGTTATGACTTGTTTTAACCTTGGAGATCAGCTAAACTTTCTCACATTTTCAACTCCTTTTTGCAAAGCTTTCTATTGTATAACATATCTATCTTTGTACATACATATAGAGAGAGAGAGAAAGAGAGAGAGAGATGTTTTGAGAATATATATATAGATATATATATAGATATATATATATATATCTATATATATAGACATACACACACACACACGTAATTCCCAGTTAGCCTGGAAGGTGTGATTCAGTGGTTGAGCATCGACTTATGAACCAGGAGGTCATAGTTTGATTCCCGGTCAGGGCACATGCAGGGTTGCAGGCTAGATCCCCAGTGGGGGGCGTGCAGGAGGCAGCCAGTCAGTGACTCTCTCATCATTGATGTTTCTGTCTCTCTCTCCCTCTCCCTTCCTCTCTCTGAAATCAATAAAAAAACATTTATTTTTTTAAACCTGTATCAATTATATCTTGATTCTTTCTGTCAGGAAAAAAATCAGTCTCCTAACTGAAATATCTTTAAATTTGTCTAATGTTATTATGGTTTATTTTGTGTTCTCATTTTCTGAATATTTCTTAGCCGTAATCTAAAGATTTTTGTGTTTTTTGAAACAGTCATTTGTATATCATTGTAAATGGATTTCATGGACTCTTTTAAAATGATCTGAAGGTAACTGGTGTATTTTCTCTAAGAATTCATGTTTCAGCACTTTAGGAAAACCTAATACTATTGCACTAGATCTTACACTAAAGATTTTGATAAACTATTGAAGATTACCAATGAGAACAAACAAAGATGCTTTGTCATAGATATATCTCTCTTTATCAGGAAGATCACATGCAGGTTATAAGAGCAATTCTGCTTTGATACAATGAGAGCCATTTTAAAGAAGCCTCTTCTAACCTAAACTACTTAAGGTTTAGAGGTATAAAAATGTGAATATAATTGTCATAATTTTTTTAATTTCTCAGATTTATTCTAAAATTATCTAACTGTGTAAATTATCTAAGCATGTAAATCAGTGTCCAGTAGCCGACACAAACACTGTCTTTTCAGTTCCTGGAACAGTTCCTGGGACAGTCTTAACTATGGACAAATAGTAGTAGAATATTTCCCTTGGAGGTTTCATAGTTTTAGAAATAATAATAATATCAACAACAACTAATATTTATTAAATGTACCAGGTATTCTAGTGCTTTTACATGTATTATCTTATTTAATCCTGTGTTAAGTATTGTTGACATCTCCATTTTCCAGATGGGCAAATTGAGGGTCAAGTAGGATCATATGGTTGGCAAATTATGAAGCTAGGATTCAAACCCAAACATTCTGACTGCAGAGCCATCATTGTAACTATTATATCATGCTGTTTTCCTTTGTTTCTATTCTTTGATGGAGCCTAGGATTTTCAACTTTAAGTATTCTAGACAAGTTGGCCAAACCAACATAAATGAAAAATAATTCATCCATCTACCAAGCCAAAGATTTGTTTTCTATCTTAATTATGTTTATTTTTTTGGAGTTTTTTTTAATATATGTCAATTTCATGGAATTATTATGATCCTTAATCAAATCTACTTTGTAAAAGGGTTTTTCATAATGGGAGCTTATAAATATGTAGATGAGTACATGTTGCTTCAATACATGCTTGTTATTTCAGTGACACAGAATAGGTGAATTGTGCTTAATGTCCTTTTAATGCAGATATGAATCTTTGAGTTCAGTGGTATCCAAGGCAGCTATGTTTTTGAGTCTACTAAATGTAAATGTGCTCTTGTTTGCGTATTTATAATCTTCCTTCATGAGGAATGCTTCCTTATTCTGTGCTTAGTCATATGAATTGTTTGTAGAAAGCATTGGCTGGTATTCACAGAGGCAGTCAAAAAATCTTACCGATATGCCTCCTGATAAGCATTAAGCCCTCTTGTTCAGCATGAAATACATGCTATTCAAAGTAAGTTTCCCGTTTGTATTTTTCCATCTTAGCAAATATAAAGATTAACATTAAACATTGCAGAAAGGTTCTTGAATTAACCCCATTTCTTTTTATGGATACCTTTATAGCTTAGGTATATATTACCCCAGATCATATTGGCAATATGTATTTAAATAAGCAGTGAATGTTACATCAGTTTCTGATTAGATTCAAGGTCAGATTCCTCAATTCTAGTTCTAATGCCATCCTCATACTCTGGCAACCTGGGTTTTGCTACGTTTAGCCATAAAATGTGGATATTACCTAATAAGGACATTATAGGGCCCAGTGTCCATTTCTATGATGCTGTCAGGTGTCTTTGTTAAAGAAATGATAAAATCTAACATACACTTTTTGCAAGCAATGTATACTAAGCTGTCATAATTTTACCAGTTTTAACAAACGTGGAAATATGAGGACTAGAATTAGTTACATCTACATATTATCTAAGTTTTCTGTTTTAAAGAATAGAGAGTATGCTGTTACATATTTCTTACCATTTCTACTGAGCAACCAATGATTTATTTGTTTTGTTACAGAATATGGAAAGTCTCAACTCCACACCATCTCATGAGAGGGCTAGACCTGTAGATGTCGAACTGATGTCGGATAACAGGTAATTTTATTTCTAAGAGTATGAATAGATTTTTTTCACTTAATGCAATGTGCATTATAAGAACTAAAAAGACTAGAATTAATGAACTATATGTTTACCAACAGTATTTTATAGCAAGGAAAATACTTAGAATTTAAAAATCTACTCTGGTGCTATTAAAAGCAAATACCATAGTCATGTTTGTGTTTCTACTTTTGTTTTTATTACCCTTTGTTTTGTTTTTGAATTTTATAAGAATTTTATATAGAGCTACTCAACCAACTTTTAAAATAAATTAAATCATGATTTCAATGGGTGAAAAGCATTGTTATAAAACAGATTGACATTTTATGATACTTTGTTGTTTGTAGCAAAGAAAATGAAAAAGACAGTGGGCACACCCAGCGCTTTGAGGTGAGTAGCTAACAAATAAGACTGTGACTGTGACAGGACTGTTCTATATTCCTGAGAGTAACTGTGAAGCTTTGTTAGTCTGTCAATAAGGGATAACAAGGTTAAGTGACAGGACTGTGATTGGTTAGAAAGGTAAATACCAAGACATAAAGATTACTTGAGGAATCGTAAGAACTCCATTTCTTTACTTTTTCTATTTTTTTTACTTTCACAGGTAAACTTCAGTAGCATGGAGATTTCTCTTTAGGTGTTTCTTAAGATAAAACAAAAAAATCAAAGCTACTAGTTGGATTTTCTATGATTTTAGGCATTTTTAAGTGATTAAAATATCCAGTGAGTTTTAATGGCTCTCTCACGTGGATTATCTCATTAACTTTCAAATTAACATAAAATCAGTTTGAGTTACTAAATCCAATTCATTTTCTGAGTTGTGTCTCATTTTCAGTAAACAAGATAGAAAAAATATCTAACTCCCTTATGTTGTCTGTATCTTAAAGTTTTGCTGACTTTCCTGACCCCCATTGTCTCCCGAGGGCATCACCGTGATGACCCAAGTATCTGGTTTCCTTGCTCCCCACTCTGGCTCCCATTCAGTGTGCTCACCTTCAGTTTGCATTCGTGTGTGTGTGTGTGTGCCCGCGTGTGTGTGTGTGTGCGTGTGTGTGCGTGTGTGTGCGCGTGTGTGTGTGTGATCTACCGCCACATGCTTCCAACTCCATCTTCATTCCTCTTATGTTTTCTTTTCGGCAAGAGTTAAAGCTTTTCTCAACCTATTCCTGGATTCTGACCCTTGAGATATTAATTATGCATAGAACTCTCCCTCTAACCCAGTGATTCCGAATCTTTGTTGGGCACTGACCTAATTCACTGATGAATTCATTCAAGAACTTATATTGAGTCCTACTGTGTGTAGGCACTGTGCTAGGAGCCGGGATTTAACAACAGCTGCAGCCCCTGCCTCTGTAGAGTTTTATAATCTAGCAGATTACAGTCTGAAAGCTGTGGACCTCTTCTTAGAAAAATGCACATTCACGTAAAAGTTGGCATAAAATTGCGGGAAGTCGGTGGCCATCCCCTGCCCGATGCTGTGGGCTCCCCGTGTTCCCTCCGCTCAGTCCGCTTGGTGTGCGCTCCGTGACCCCAGCCAGGCAATGGNGGCGTCGTGTGCGCTCCATGACCCCAGCCAGGCAATGGGAGGGGACCGCTTCCTCCTCCTGACCTCCCCGCTGTGAGCCGTTTCCCTCACGTCTTATTTCCAGCTCCTTCAAGCTGCCTTCCTCGGGATCCAGGCAACAAGTCGGCATTCTTCTCTTGTCCCTTTTCAGAGCAGTTTCCCTGTGACAGTGTTGTCTTCTTTTTCCTCTGGTTTTCTCCGTTTCTCTGCTCTCTTCCTCCGCTTCAGCAAGCACCTACTTCTCATACCAGTGAACACTGGTTTAAAGAAAAGTGCTTTGCCAGCCTCCTGGAGCGGTCCTCTCAGCTCCTCCCTCTTGCGCCTCTTATGCCTCATGAGATCAGAGGGTAGAGATGCACTTCACAACGTTAACTCATAAATCCAACAGGCACCCAAACTTAATCCGCACCGCACTCAGCTGGCCTGGGGATTGTGGCTGGCTCCTGCGGCCGTGCCTGAGTCACGGGGAAAGAATCTCAAATCATTTTTTACGTGCCAGGACCTATTATTATTGCATGTGTCGCCCATGTGCAGTTTCCAGGCAGTACCTAGCCCCCTATTGGCACTCCTTGAGCATTCGCTATTAATAATCTTTGTCATCATCATCATTTCAGCCAGGAGATAGTCAGGCAGTGAGTTAAAATCTAGATTAAGCTCCCTGCGCCTCCTCTCAGAGCTGCTCCAAAGGAGGAGACAAGACATCGCTCCACGGGATGTGGGGTCCCGTGTCTACTCGCAGAGGCCTGAGCTGCTTGCGCTGAAGGGAAGACATCAGTATTGATGAAGGGCTGTGAAAGACCCATCTTCCATTTTGAAACCCCCTTCCCTTGTTTCTAGTATGTTGTGATTGTTTACTTTCTAATTTATGTAGCACTTTCTAGAACTGATTATACAACTGAAATAGTTCACCTGGTTTTCTGGTTATACCACAATAATTTCTTAATTTCAGAGATGAAAAATAAGTATAGACTTTTGGTTACTGTAGCTCCTCAAATTCTGTTTAGCCAATATTTTACTTCAAGTCTCCTATAGCATCATTTTCCATTAAGGCAGGTTTTGTCCTCAAATATTATTGTTTATTAAATTCTCCTTGTAAACTCTCATATTAGTGCAAGAGATAGCAAATGAGACCTATGGGGAAAGGTGATTTGTCTTTCTTGTTTTGACCAGTATTTCTTTCCATTAGAATGAGCAACACTAAACTTCAGCCTCAGAAATGCTCTGTAAAGAGAGGCTTGTCTTAAAGTTGGCTTCTCCAAGGCAAATGCAAACACAACTGCAACTATAGGTTTTAAATAATCTTTTTGCAGCCTTAAATGTGTCTTTGTTTGAATGAATGCATTGAAAAGTGAAAATGGGCTTATCCCTGTGTTGCACATCTTTTTAATTCCTTATAATTATGCTACTGATCTTAGGCAAAAAGAGAGTCTGCTGCCATCTCGGATGGTAAATGAGAGTTATCCATTTTCTATTTTTATCTGAGTTTCTTAAGTGGTTTGTATTAAAATCTGGTTAGTGACACAAAACTGAGTCATTTCAAAATGCCAAAACTGAAATTATGATTTCTTTGGATAGGTTTTAGAAAGGCAGAGCTTTCAATAGAATAACCTATTTGGACTATGCGAAATGACATAACACAAGGAAGAACCTAGCTCCTGCTGCCTGAGCATGTAGAGTCCAAAGTCCTAGTTCTTTTGTTTATTTTTAAAATATATATATTTTTTTGTTGACAGTATTACAGATGTCCCCCATTTTCTTCCCCTTTGCCCCCCCTCCAGCAAGCTCCTGCCCCGCTCCAGGCCTTCACCACACTATTGTCTTTTGTTTATTTTTAAACTAAGTTAACAACTGAAAGGATCCAGAAGAGAGGTAGTCCTTAAAACTAGGAATTTCTAGGTTCTAAAAATTATCCCTGAAAATACAGATTTCAGAGTTCTGTTTAAATGAAGTTTACACCTTCCTCTCAATTTGATTCCTTCTGATGTTATTTTTTATTGTAGAAATATATTATACTTCAGTATAAAATCCATAATATTAAAACTATAACTTTGTACTTAATCTCTTTGTCAAAAAGCAAAACATGTAAGAATTATTAAGTACATGGAAGGGTATTACATTATCTGGGGGAGGTCATTTTATGTCAGTAGTATAAGGCTGATAAAGGTTAAATTCTTTCAAGATATTTTTACATTCTTTATGCTTTCTAAGCCTACTGCTTAGGAGAGCTTAGCAGCATACCTTTGAAAACAAACAAGACATTCATAATAAACAAAAGACTATTTCCCTTTTTCGTATCCTGCTTCAAAAAAAAAAAAAAAGCAGAGAGAAAGGAAGAGAGGAGAGAGAGAAAGGAGAGATGACAAGGCTGGGAATTAATATTGATCACAAGCTCTTAAGTGCAGACTTCAGTTTGCCCTGAGAAAGTCTGAGATAGGATCTGAAATAGACCCATTAACAAGTATTTATGAAATGGATGGACTCTGTTATTTCAGCCTCACTGTATTTCATGGAAGCTTTAGGGTTTTGTTATTGGTTATAACATTAGAACCAGAAAAACTAAAAAGTTTCATTTGTTTAGATTCACTTCCAATTCCATCCAGTCTTGAAAGGCAACTGAAGATTTGCAGTTCACATGGATTCTGGAAATTTATTATGTCCATTTTCCTCTTTTGTCAGGCCAAACAGTAAATATGGTTCCATGTGGTCCTTCTATTAACAGTGTGCGGTTCCTTCCTGTGCGAGCTGCATTATTCAGGACACTCTATGCTCTTGCTATTCGTGGCTCTGGTAAGCTGTTAGTGAGGCTACTTACCCATGTCCTGTGCAGGGAGGGAGAAAGGATGGAAAAATATTCAACTATTTAAAGCCAGAGAAAGAGTAGGATCAATAAAGTCTGGGGATAGAAAAGGCCCAGCCCAGACAGATGGATAGATGTCGTTAATGGGTCCTTGACCTGAACAAGGAATGTTACCTGAGGCCCCAGGCAAGGTGAGCTCTCTCATTACTTGCTCAGTAGCATACTGGGTATTTCTTTTAGAACATGCATGACACCTGCATGTATATGCTCAGTGTCTCCCTTCTATGCTAAGTTCTATTATCTTAGAGTTTTAAGTTGAGGTATAATTACATAACATTATATTAGTTTCAAGTGTACAACATAATGAATCAATCATTGTATGTATTGTGAAATGATCACCACAGTAAGTCTAGATAACATGCATCGCCACATAGTTACAATACTTTTCTTCTTGTGACCATTATCTTGTGAGTGCTTGTCATCCCAGTGCCTAGGACATAGTATGTGTTCAATAAACACATGCCAAATGAAGGTGAAAGGAAGATAGTGTATAAATGCAAATAACATTTCCCTTGCAGTTATTCTGGGCTAGCTGTTTTTATACATGTTTTTTATTAATCCTCACACTGCTTTATAAAGTCTTATTCCTGTATTAGAGAAAAGAAGCTAAAGTACAAAGAGATTTACCCACTAAAGATCTTACAGCTAGTCAGCTGGTGTTTAAGCTCACGTCTCTGACTCAAGCCCGTCCCCTGTTTGCCATACTATATTGTCTCTCCTAAGAGCCAGTCGGTTTATTTCAGGCCATGCATATTTAGTGTGTTTTCATATGGCACAACATTTTGATAAGGGTTTCGTGTGACATCTCAGTTGAAAATTGTGGAATTAATTTTATGTACTCTCTGATTTAACTGAAGCTGTAAGACCTATAAAGAACACAAGTTGAAATCAAAAATATTTTGGTACTTGAGAATGCCCTTGACATTTTAACATTAATTATCTAGTAGGAGAAACAGACAAGCAAGTAGATAAGTGCAATACTGTATTGTAAACGCTAGTTGAGAGTGGGGAACAGTCTGGCAAGGTGCCTCACCCTAGTCTAAATGTATTAGACTAGGCTAATTAATATTTGAAGGAAGAGCAGGTTTTTGCTAGTTTATTGCTGCAGAGCCTGAACAGCTTCCCCGCGGGCAGCCCCTGAATAGCACTGCGGGGCCCCCTTGTGCACATCAGCCCTGGGCCCGCACCAGGAGTCCGCTCTGCAGCCACAGTCAGAGCAGCCGTGTCAGGCTCAGAGACCAGTGGAGCCAGAAATTGGGAATCAGGCCTCTGGGAACAGCAGGCAAGTGAAAGAGTGAACTCAAGGATTGGTGAGAGCACAGCAGGACAGGCTGGGCATGTGGGCGTGCTGGTGAGTGAGTGCCGTGCCAAGTGTGTCCACGGCTGTGAGCTGGTGCAGGTTTATGTAAGATTTCTCCACTGCTGCGCAGAAATCAGGCAGGAAGTCCAGAAGCTCCTGTAAGTTAACACAGGTCTCCAGTATACGTGATATACCATTATTCGTGGTATGGTGCACATAGTAAATGTGTGGCCCTGACTCCAGGTACAGTGACCTCTTTGCTAGTCCTCAGCATGTACAAAATAATCGTGCCTCAGGGCCTTGACACTTGCTTTCCTTCTTCCCGGAATGCTCTTTCCGTAGAAGGCTTTCTCGCTCGTTTCATTCACGGCTCTACCCATGTGTCACCTGTTGGAAGGGACTTCCCTGAGCTCCCACTATAAACCAGCAGGCCTTCGCTCCTACTCCCCTCCTCCTTACCCTGCTTTATTTTCTCCACAGTCCATATTGCTACCTGTCCTTTTCTTCTTCATTAACTGTCCCCTTCTGTATGATTTATTAGGACAGAGACCTTAATTTGTCCACTGAAGCTTTGTGCCTGTCTAGCACATAGTAGTTATTCAGAAATTATTTCTTGAATGAATAAGTAAATTTTACCTTTGTATCTCTAGTACCTGACATGTCATGGACAGCCCTATTATACGTATATAACTTGTGACATACACTGTTTTTGAATACAGTAGTAAAATTGACCTGATTCTCTTTGTTAGAATGGTAGAGTCTTCCAGAGGTTATCTATCATAGCATCCTACCCAGGGCGGTGCTCTCTCCCCCTCCCACGTGCCTGACTCCCAGGCTGTGTTTGAACACGGAAGGGCAGCTCACTAATTCACAAGGTGGTGTACTGTTGCATTACACCAACATTCGCTGTCCTCAGAGCTTGACTGAACGTGCTCGAACTGTTCCGCTGAATGTCAGAGTCCAGCATAGAGTGGGTGCCCCAAACCATGTTGTTGAAGGAATATATAAAAATTCAAATGTTTTGGAGAAAGAAAAGAAAGAAAAAATTTTCTAATTTTAATTCTCTTACTTGTAATTGTGCAAATTCAGGTGTAGCAATCATAAAATGTATGCATTTTTACATTAATTTGTATATGTGTGGAATCTCAGTATTTTACATGTGCGATGTCAAGCGCTACAGGACTCTTGGGTGCCCTGAGGTGACACAGGAGCTGCAGGAGGCAGAGCCAGTGACTGGTTTGGGGAGAGAACCCTGGCCGCCGGCACAACGCAGCTCATAGGCCTGGAGGTCTCCTTACCAGCCTCCGCTCCCATCGGCAGGGCTTCAGCCTGGAAACACACATGTTGCCGTTATTACTCTGTGTTTAAAATCCTTCAGTGGCTTTCCCTTATCTCCTACAGGCTAAAATCCAGACTTAGCCCAGCCTACAAGCCTTTCTCACTCCATCCTCTGCTTACCCGGCACCCTCATCTTCTGCCATCCCCCTTCCCGTCCCACGGGCTGGCCACCAGGACCCTCTGACCTGGCCGTGACCAAGGGCTCCCGGCCACTGCCATGCCTGCCTTTGCACTTGCCGTTTCTCCCCAACCCCTCTGACCCACATTGTCTGTGCCCAGATCAGAACTGCTGTAGCGACACCCGACGGGAACACGAATGGTTCTTTTCTCTGTTTTTTCATAATGCACCTAAAATTCTGCCCCCCCCTTGCTGTAGCATGTTTGATCTCAAATTGCAGTTGTGCCCGCCTCTTGTCCAGCTCCTCTGTCTGGCACTGGGAGCAGTGGCGCTGTGGCACTCATCTGCATCGGCTGCCTAACAGTAATAAAGCGCGATCGCTCCCATCCGTGTGTCTCTTGCGCTCCAGGCACCCTGCTAGAGGCCTGTCGTACCTTCTCTCAGACCTTCGAAGGCTTGTATAATTGCCGTGAAGTCAGAGATCAGGAAGCAGAGGCTCAGAGAAGCGAAGCGGCCCGGTCAAAGCACCAAGCTAGTGAAAGTCACCCCACAAACCCAGGTCTGCCTGTGAGCAAAACCCACGGCGGTTCCACTGCTGTACACCGATGGCTTGATCTGCGTTCCTCATGAAGAAAGTGCCCAACTTAGAACACGAAATCATATGTCCTGTATTCCTACCTTTTTATGACCCTAAGTGTAACAAGTGTTATAAAGCTTAATTAAGAAATGTTTAGTGCTGTAAGCAGATTCTAGCGCACGTGTGCGCACGCACACACGATTGGTGACCGGCTGACCCTGTAACTTAAAAAGCTGAGCACCAGATTTGGTCACTCAGCCCTGGTTCACTTAGGATTCAGCTCAAAGAGCAAATAATTCTTGTAGCATAAATGCTTAATCTGGGTCCCCCCCCCCACACACACACACTAGACAAACAGCATTTTTAAGGTGTTTGACAGGTTTACTTGGCATTTCTCTTTTTTTTCTTTTTTTCTTTTTAATTCTCACCCGAGGATAGTTTTTCTATTGCTTTTCAGAGAAAGCGGGAGGGGGGGAGAGAGAGAAATAGAAACATCCATATGAGAGAAACACATTGATTGGTTGCCTCCTGCTCCCACGCCAACCGGGGTCAGGGACTGAGCCAGCACCCGAGCTACTGGGACCCTTCGGTCCGCAGGCTGATGTTCTCACCCCTGAGCCAAACCAGCTAGGGCTGCTTGGCGTTTCTACCTGACTTGGGTAGCTCATCATAAACCAGTGGGTGAGATTTCATTTTATCCCAAATGTGAAGAGAATGCCAGTCCTTGTGCACCGTTTAATGGAACTATAGTAGTAAAAGCCCCGTCTATTCCCCTGGTGATATTAAAGTGGGTTGAAGAGCTATTAAAAGTAGCTGGAAATCTTAGTAGTGCTTTATTTTAAGCATAAGAACATTTCTCGTTATGGAATCATTTATGACTTCCAGATGTTTTTGTCATTTTCATTTAATGATGGCATATTTGCTAAAATAAATTTCCAGTTATTCTCAAAGAAAATCTTTGGTACAGGTAAGTGCTACTTGAGAAATATATTTGTGAGTGAACACTTTGGTTTATAATTTTATGAAAGAGGGGAGAATGACAGTGTTTGGCTATTCAAGATATCAAAAGGTCATTTTTTTAAATTAATTTCAATGCAATTTTTAGAACATAGAATCACCTAGCTAAAATAGCAGCCTTTGGGGGAGGTCTTTCCCATCCCCCAGATAGCCTAGCCTGGTGTAGTTGCCACAGTAAGCAAAGCCAAGTGTTGCCGCATATTTAATACTCAGAGTCAATGAATAGTAGGAAGACAAGTGACAGTTGTATAGTTGTTAGATATAAATTATGCATTGCTGACTTGGCAGCTCTTGGCTTTTTACTTAAAAAAAAAAAAAAAAGTTGTGCTCCCTGTGTAATTCTGGCTCGTTTCCAGAGTCCGTATTCCTTACTGCCAGCTGAGATAAGATGCCAAACCTCTGTGCTGTTTGAATTTGCGCAACAATTCTTTAATACCCAGAGCTCCTCCATAAATAGTCTGTTCTCCCCACACTAGGAGAAAACAAGCGCAGGAAATCTGGGACTGCAGCTCGCTCCGCTTAATTGATCTAAGCCTGCAGGGCCAGCGGGAGAGCACGCGTGAGCACAGCCCCCCTGCCCCTGGCCCTTCAGGACTGTTTCCCCAAGAGGCAAAGAAGTCTGCGTGCGGAAGACACCATGTTGCTCCCACAGCCCTCGCAGCCGCAGTAGCGGGGTGGTTGTTTACAGTCCCGAGAGCTGTGCTCCTTTAAGGAAACACAAACTCCTTTCCCTCGTTTCTGGCCCCAATCCGTGGTCATCAAGACTGTCAGCTGCCTGCAGTTGTCAGGAGCAGCAGCCCTGGGGAATGATCTTGCCTTTCTCGCAGAAGAAAAGTTAAAGGAGCGCAGATGGACGGTCGCTTTGTGCACGCGAGCGGCCAGCGAGTAGCCAGGGGCCATCGGGCTGTGATTTTGATTTCTGTGCCGGGTGCGTCGGCAGCTGTGGCTTGGGAGGTTTCACCCAGACGGAGTGGAATTGCTGCAGACATCTGTGGGTTCCGGTGAGCATTAAGGATTTGGGGACATTGTGCTATTCTTGCAGAGCCCCACGATGAAGATCCAGGAGCACCCCAGCATCCCTGACACCAAACTGCAGAGGACCCCCGACGCCGACCCCCAGCAGGACAGCTTCGCCTCGGAAGCGCCCCAGCTGGACCTGACCGCACTGTGCGATGAGCAGTGCTGGGCAGGTAGGCCGTGTGACGCTGGGATGATTTAATAAAGAAGCGTGTGTATGCGCGTAGATGAGAGGCACGTGTGGGCGAGAGCGGCCGCTGTGCGTGTGGAAGCCACTGCGTTTCTAAACGCCTGAAAATCCTTCCCCTGGCATGGAAATGTGTCATGCCAAGTGCTGCCAAGAGTAATTGCAGTCTAAGGAAGAAAATGCGCTTGCCCTTTATCATAGTGTCACCTTGCAGTCCTTTTTTTTTTATTTTTCACTCACCAGGAGTGCCACTGTATGGGAGCGTTTTCCCTCTAGTGGTGCCAAGCAGAGTCATGAGGAGCCGGTATGCACTTAGGATTTCCTCTCGGTGTAACCCCTTGTCCCCCCCTACATACCGGCCAAATACCTCCTTCATTAAATCTCTTCCCATTTTTCAGGGATATTTTGGCTGGCTTTGTGTCTATGTCTGTTATCATGGATAGACTTTTTAAAACCCAGGTTAACAAACATGCAGGATTTGCTTATTAAAGACAACACTGAATAAAAGTGCTTCTTTTTTTTTTTTTTCTTTTTTTAAGTAAAAGTGGTTCTTATTGAATGCCTGTAATACAGTGTTTTAGATCGGTTTTTCTAGAGATTTTTGGTGAAAACATCAGAAATGGAGCGGTAAGGAAGAAGAGGGTATCCAAAGCCTGGTTTCAGGAAAGATGCTGGAACAGTTTCATCAAGCTGCTGTTCTTTCACGATCCATGTGTTCGCACCCAAACACAGATCAGCGTGTATGCAGAATAAATGCCCATCTGCCTCCACAGCGTGTGTCAGAGGCGGCAGAGCGAGAGCTGGGGCTCCTGAGCTCAGCAGCACATGCCCTCACACGGCAGCTGAGCCAGTCGCTTTCAAGGGTGCCTGCGTTTCCTTGTTTTCTTTCCACCTCCCCTCCTTTATTTTTTTTTTAACCAAAAAGTACTCATTATGGTAATGATCTTAGATGAGTGACCAAAAAAAATGATCTAAAAAGACCACAAGGTGAAAAATAGCAACCCCATTATGCTCCTGGCACCCAGGGCTTAGTGAAGCGAAAACTGTTTTTTCTTCTAGCCCTCCCTCTTTTCATTGTAAGAAACACATTCTAGTTCTTTTCAGATATTTGGGCAGCGGGGCTGAGATTTTGTCAGATCTTCCCAGCTCATGATACATTCAC